CCACAAATCAAATTCAGGCCACAAACAGTCCAGGAAAACTATCTCTGTGTCCTCATGGCATTGCCATAACATGAAGTCGCTTAATCTATTAACTCCACTCGTTCGGATCAAGAGATCTAAAGGAGGATCCCCAGCAGTGAATAGATTTTCTTCAAGCGTGTCTATATATATTGATTCGGGATCGGGGAACACTCCAGCTTCGGGGCTGCTTATTGGTGACGGTTCAGGATTTAGGGTTGTGGAGGATGATACAGATTCGTCTGGTTCGGATATGTTTGACGGAGTAGGAGAGCTTGCTCTTAGAGCGGACTTTGAGGTAGAATCGACATTTCTTGACTTGAGCTTTTGGGTTATTCGAGTCTGCGAAAAAGGTCGCTGTTGCGTATGTGTTGGTTTTGAGTAGTTTTCTACAGTAGTCTTGATTGCGGTTGTGATTTCATCTCGAGATGTATATGGAAAGCAAATATTGAGTGCGCAACTAAATGGTATTAGTAAATTAGACTCAGCAGCGTTGACATAGCCCAACTTACTCTCCGTTGTTCTTTGTCATGTCCACAGCTCTATCGATGGCCTCCAAAACATCATCTTTGACCAAATTCCTCTGGCCAAGAACTCGAACGCTGGCTCCGTACCTGTCCAGAAGGTCTCCGTGTTGCGCCAATTGTACCAGCTTAACTTTTGCCATTTCCATGAGAGCATCTACCTCGTATTTCGAGCGTTTGAAGTTCTCTATACTGAAGGCGTAAACGGTTACCACTTTCACTCCGGACTTATAGCAGACTTCTAATATCTATAAATCGTATTAGCGGGAGCACAACAACACTTTTTGCTAGAAAACAAACCCTTGCTAGAGCCTCAAATCCCAGATTGTGCCCCTCAACTGTTTCTATCTTGTGACTTCGCGCAAATCGTCTGTTCCCATCCATCACAAATGCCACATGCTGAGGAATAGGACCTTGTCGCAATGCGCCAATGAGTAACTCTCTCAGCTTATCAATGCCCCATTCGATGGGCGGCGAGGCTAGCATCCATTTCCGGAGCTGCGAGACATGCCTCGAAGACATGCTTGATATATGAAGGGATGCAGCACAGTGGATGGAACCTAAAGCTGTATGACAAGGGATTGATGAGGATTTGAGCTAGATATTGAAGTATGGATTCAAGAGAAAAAATGCCCTTTTCTTAAATTTCGGTGGGAAGTCTGAATTCGCTATGTTGAAGTAAATGAATCTTTAAACGCTGACGTATCCTTATAGTTTGCGGGGATACTGGGTGGTTACCGGTACAATGATTAATAGTTCGTAATTCTACTCGAAGTAGCGGCGATGTTTCTTTTCCGAGTCTCGAACGAGTCCTCTTACGCTCGGTACGGGCCCTCGGGCCAATTGGGTAAAATTAATAAATAGCAATATTGCTTCCTCACGAATACCTACCTAGCTAGGTAGGTATCCCAAAATTTGGTTTCCTTCACATATATATGATAAAGGTCACCGGTATCTCCAAAACAGAATCTGATTTCGCATTATCAGGTTTTATTATCGGAACTTGGGACGGCTAAAAGCTACCTACCTAGCTAGTACCTCCTGTTCGAGATTTCACTGCATACAATGCAACGCTAGGAGGCAAATCTACACATCATGGGAATAATGGCAAAAGCTAGTTGTAGTGCTTACCAGGCCGGCTTGATTGTGTCACTAGACTTTGGGCGAGAGATATATTGTTCTTCTTCGCTAGGCGTATCGATGACTGCAACGTATGAAGCAATACTCCTTTTCATATTCCAGAGCCAACTATCAACCATATGATCACTCTGTTTCTGACACACCAAGCTATCATGCTTTAGATCTGTTACATTGCTGTTGGTGAACAGTTGGTTTCTTCTCCACTTGCATTTTCTATATCTTCTTGCCTTTCCCACAGGTACCATGCGAAAGCTTCATTCACTCACTCAATAATATCCTGTTGTCACTCTTTGAAAACTTCACACGACTTCTTTCTCAGCATGCTCGAGACTAGTTCGCTCATTCTCACGGGACTCTTGTCCATACTGTTATATGTCGTTGTGATAAGGCGAGCCAATAAATTCAAGACATTGAACCATCAGCATGGTTGCGAGCATCCTGTCACCTACCCCCACATCGATCCGTTCTTTGGACTTGACCTAAAGCTACAAGAAATTGGACAGTCTTTAAAATATCAAGGCATTCCTTTTATGTCAAATCTTCATATAAAATACGGTAAAACAATCTGGTTGAACAACTTGGGTACTTCAGACATAAGGACTATTGATTCTGAGAATCTTCAAAATGCTTGGTCTACCAACAATTCTGACTGGGGTTACCAACCTTACAGGCTTCCTGTGATGGGACCTTTCTGTGGACGTGGATTTATCACCACCGATGATGAGGAATGGCAAAAAGCTAGAGTTCTTCTTCGACCTACGTTCAGTAAAGCGAATATATCAGATTTAAGTCCGTTCATAGCGTTGACTAAGGCCTTCTTCCAAGCCATTCCACAAGATGGTCATACAACAATCGATTTACAAACTCCCCTGGCAAGTCTCGTAGGTACAAACGATGAAAACTTGTGTGGCAACGGCAAGATTCTGACTATGGCTTCAGTTCGTTGGCACTTCCATGAAGTTTATTCTAGGGGTGACTCCTAGACCCGGCGCCGATGGAAGATCGGACGAGTTGGCTGCTTTTCTGAAAGCTTTCCAAAAATCTTTCATTGGTATGGGACTTTCATTTATGCTGGGTCCCTTGCAGTTTCTCATCCCAAAGTCAATGAAATACGAGGCGTATAAGGAAGTTCAATCATATCTTGACTCGCTCATCGAAACGGAGATAAGTGCAGAAAATGAAGCTTCCGGCTCCCATTTCAATGGATCAAATCCAAGAAGCCTTCTTCAAGGTCTAATCAAAGAAACTGATGATCGCATTGAGATTCGCGACAATGCTTTACAGGGGATGATGGCTGTTCAGGACACAACTCCTGTTCTTCTCAGCAACACACTATTTCTTCTTTCACGTAACCCAAAAGTATATGATAGACTACGGTATGAAGTTCAGTCATTGGATCTAGAAGAATCTCAGCATCTGTACGATAAGTTACGCGGTTTGAGCTTTCTTCACAATGTCATTAACGAATGTAAGACAACCTAAGATTTCTTTACTACCGGCATACCATTGCGTGGCCAAACTAATCATTCGTAGCACTTCGCCTTTTTCCAATTTTCCCAGAACTTGCTCGTATCTCATTGACAGATACAACTCTACCAAAAGGGGGAGGTAAAGATGGCAACTCCCTGATCTACGTACCTAAAGGCACGAAGCTTTGGGCAAATTTCTACGGTCTACATCGTATTGAGTCCGTGTTTGGTCCTAACATTGAATCGTTCGATCCAGATAGATGGTACTCTATCAAACCTAGTCCTTGGGAATACATGCCCTTTGGAGGAGGGCCTCGTGCTTGTGTGGGCCAGAACAAGGCATTGGTAGAGGCGTCATATATGCTAGCAAAATTTGCACAGCTGTACAAGAGAATAGAAAGTCGAGATTCAAGAGATTGGGCGGGTCAGCGGAAGTTGACAGCAAGTAATGCGAATGGGTGTAAAGTTGTGTGTGTACCAGCATGACAGTATATTTTCTTTCAAATTGGGTGGATTTTGTTGAAGATTCTTCAGACGTTTCATCCTGGGGTTTGGCGCGGAGTGTTTTGATTGGAATGTAAAACTACCCTCAAAATACATTAAGATATCTTGCCGCATATTTGAGTGATAACGTTGCACTTTATTGATGCTCTAGAAATAGGAATGTTTATAAAGCTCCTAGAATGGAATTTTGGCAGGTAGTCTGGGGTGATCTGACGTTTATAATTCACGTATATAATAAGTGAACTAGAATTTGCGAGTGATTTTTTTCGACAAAGTAAACCCATCTTACAGTCTAATCTACCCACGCCTGATTTCATTAAACAAATCAAACATCACCTTGAAGATGCATCGGACCAACCAATCACTCCTCTCACTCGCTACCCTCGCTATCCTCCTTATATTGTCCCTTCAAGTCCAAGCACAAGCTCCCTCCGGCCGTCCAATGACCAGCGCCCGTACCAACGGGACGTTGTAATTTTTCCACTTTCTTCCCACCCCTTTCACACCTCATATTTCCTCCCAAATGTCTTCAACATCAAACTAATGATCAAAACAGTCACAATAGTACCAGCACACGCAGAGCACCAACAAGCACCAGAATGGTACCCACAATCACAGACTCCGGGGGATTCGCTACGGGAACCAGTTTCGTTAACGCGGGTGAAAATATGTCGCCCATTGCGATGGGGGGTCTTGTCGTATTCTTAGGAGGACTTTTGGCGTTTTGAGGGAGAGCTTGGGAGTGTGATGAGTGAGTTGAGTGTTTGAAATCTTGGGGGAGATTGGGCAATTGGGCAATTGGGAAGAAACGAGGGATGATTGAGTTGGAAGTGTTTGAAGCAGACGATTCTGAGCGTATTCAATTCTACATGGATTGAAAAAAGAGACAATTTCAATGTAGAAGATCAACAAATTTTGGGTATGGATTTGTTAATTTAGAGCAGGAAGAGCGAGAAAATTTGCCACTATTTAGGTAGATTGATATGCAATAATGTTTGGACACATCATCACTTGACAACATCCTTCGATTTCACGCAAGCACACAAGGTTTTCATGTAGCGTTGAACTTCTGTTCGTCTCAGTGCCAGCACGTAATACCTCAAGGAAGGTCGACAAGAAAATGTACAACTAGCGAAAACCCTGAATGTCTATTGGATACCTATTCTATATAATGATGCAAATAACGCCAGCGACTCCTTTCAAACCCATTTTTTTGTTCTTTTTCTCTGATTATCCAGCTCTCTACCTATCTCCGGCTTTGACTCCGTCCTGTCCGTCGACCTTCTCGTCAGTGCAGCGCCTCCAGGAAATTGATTCCCTTCTGCTCGCCTTTCACTATCTTCAATTATTTCTTCGCCTTCGCCTTCCCCTTCTCCTTCTCTTTCTTATCAGAATCGGAGCCTGTTTGGCGTTAGTAAGTGTATAAGTAGGAATCAAGTGTAGGTCTTACTGCTTGGATAACGCCCTGTGAGGTCCTTGTAAGCACCCCTTCTGGCTTCCTCCCTCCTATCAGAATTAGATTCGGAGTCGTCTCTTATCTGAACCGCTGTTTGGCATTAGTAACCGTATAAGTAGGAATCAAGTATCTATCTTACAAGGTTTTGAAGAGCTGGCCTGAGAAGTTTTTGTAGAGCTGCCCGTCGTTTTTGGATGGCCTGCCACTAAATCGGCGGATCTACGTGAATGACTACCTTGTTTAAAGGTGATAGGTAAACCTTCCTTGGGGAAAGTGCCTTTGCCTTTGCCGTTGTTGTTGTTGGTGGAAGACATTTTTAGAATTGAATATTTCGATATTTCAGTATTCCAGTATTCGATGTTCTGTGCGAGTTTGGTAGAAGAAGATCAATAGAGTGATGGGGATGATGAAGATGTAAGTGAAGTTGATGAGATTGAGATTACAAGCTATGCACTCACCAAGCCATATTTATATGCAATTGAGCCAGACTCGTCGCTCGCATTGTTGGTATATCGTGAGCCATATTACCGAGTAGACATAGTAGAGGCAGGCCAGTGACACCTCGACCCAAATCCCACAGCAGGATTTTTCGAAGCCATACCAAAAGCGGATCCAATTTGGCAATATCGAGGTTGTAATGATATTAAGTCGGGGCTCATAAATTCAGGCTGACAGCAAAAAGCAATTGTGAATAATGTGAGGGGTCAACGGAAGACAGCCAAGTCGAATAGTCAACATGTCGAAGCTTCACAACTGAAATCTTAAACATTCGCCCAAGACATCTCAGTACAATAACTCAGAAAGAATCGGTAAAGAAGCTCAAATCTACGGGCGTATGATATTCTCAACTCAGTATCAACATACTGAGAATGGACAATTACCCAACATCTGGCATAACAGAGAAACTGCAGGTAACGCCCATAGTGAGCGAACCACGCTGACGCCCATGACCTCCCCGTACCGTACCATACATCAATACATTATTTTAAACAGGCAAACAGAGATGGTCGGCCGTCGGCTACTCGACCAGGCGCCATAGAAGCTCGTAAACTCCCGGCCTCAACCCAATTTAGGCAGGCACGCGCGAACAAGCTGGTGAAGCTCGGCTCCAGAAATATGTTTGGAAGCCAGACAGTCAATGTAAAAGGCTTTGTTGAATGTAGGCCACACTTGCAAACCCCAAAACAGCATATTGAAATGTGCAAAATATACCATCTGAATGTCAGTTGCGCAAAAGATCCCTTTTCTATGAGGTTTCATGTTTGTGGATTTCACCGCACCATTCGAATTATTGCCGTCTTTCGATTCGAACATCCCATACATTGCTTTACGAAGGAATCTTTCATAACTTGAGCCACCAGGTCCCCACGCCCAATTGGTAGGTAGCCTGATTTAAACATACATATCTTCAATATCTTACACTTGATGTAGGTGGGAATCCAGGGGCACAGCCGCCATAGTAGCATTAGCTCCATCAATTTGCCGCGATACGATCATACAAATCATCATTGCCCTCATCATCCTTAGCTTCCTAAACAGCTGCCTTAATATTGCCCCGCTTTCTCATTGTTGGCTATATTCCTTGGTATTCCAACCACCAACACCCTTATTCTAATGACTCAAAGTACTTCGTCTCTTCGACTTCCTCCTCTGCAGCGTCGCCCTCCCCTTCCTCGTCCTAATTCTACTCAAAAATCCATGTCTCCTCTTCCTAACAAAGTGACTCGGACTGAACGTGTTTCTTGGCCCACAGCGTAATTGTGTTGTACTCAAAGCGGGATGTGCTGAGATCTTAGGAAGGAGATCTAGAGGTGCTGCTTCTGAAGGAATAACTACAGACGTTGAAGGTTTGAATGCGGAGGGGGATAACGTAGGTCGGAGGGGCGTGATTGAAGTAAATGTTCTACAAAGTTGTTAGTGTAAGACACGGCTGTGTGAATTGACAAATATCTACCTCTTCGCAACGATAGCATTGGATTGTGAAAGCGCCCTTGTTATAATTGGAGTAGCCCTAAGACCATAAGAGCAGCGTAGACACAACATTTTGCTACAATTTGTGAATATCTTAACCCGGACCAGAATTCGAGGTTATCCCCATGCACTATCAAAATCAAAAAAACCACGCTAGCGGACATTTTTCCGCCTCAGTCGCAAAAAATCTCGGGGCTTCCATCAAACTTCTTGTTTGCATACTTCGAAAATCGATTTCTCTGGCATTTATCGTACATTTTTTTCATCTTTACAACTCCGACCATATCTAATTATATTCAAGACTCAATCAACATGTCTGCGTCGGCCTTTCCACCCCACAAGTCAATCCCTTCGATCCCTGTCAACCAAACAATGGCTCTCAAATACCTTCAAGATTATCTCTCACTCACATCCAGCACACCATACCTTCTCCCAAACGCCAAACTCGAGCCTACGGGTCCTACTATCGGGAGCAGTCACTCCAGCGTTACGATCCACAATCTTCAACGTGTTGAAGCTGGTCTGCGCGGAGAATGGCTTGCGCCAACATTAGAAATGGAGGATGAAAACCCAGTTGAGATTGCGCAGGGTTTGGAAGATGCAAGCGAGGGCGACAAGATGGATGTAGATGGGTGGCAGGATAAGGAAGAATTTGAGAGGGAGCAGAGTATCGAGGAGGGAGATGTTGGAGCTAGGGTCCAAAAGGTGAATAACGCGGAAGTTGATAGTGATCTTGAGATTGAGCCAAGTGCAAAGGCAATTCCAGGATTGAGTCAACCCAAAGCATGGATCAGGAAGGAAAAAGAAACACGAAAGGCCGAAAAGAAGGCAAGACACAAGGCAGAGCTGAAGGCGAAGGAAGCGAAGAAGCAATCCGCAGCATAATGAGCACGACGAACTACAAGTCACGAATTTTCGATGCGTTTTAGCGAGGTTAACGGAAATCTTTTTATTCAGTCTATACCGTACATCTATTCAGAGGTTTCCTCGTAATATAGAATGCTGTACATCTACAATTCTCTGCCACTAGCCTGTGCGGTCTTCTCATCCTTTGCAGCCGCTGGTGCAACTGGACCGCTCGACTTCCATCCCAAAGCACCTAATCTCTCCGACAATATTGGATGGGAGAAATGGTAGCTTGCATACATCCAGTCCGCATCCATAGTACTCAAGTTCTGGATCTGCAATTTTATCAACGAACGAGCTAGCTCAGCCTGGTATCCAAGTCCTTGTGCGAAGTCATCTGCTTCAAACTCGTACTTTCTGCTGAGGATATTCATCAACAGCTTGATGACTGTGTCCATAGGGGCAAGTGCATCAGAGAACAAGATGAACCCTATTATGATTGGGAACTCGTTATGGAAACCAAATGATTGGTACAAAGAGTGGTTGTTAATGAAGACGGAGAACAGGGAGAAGATGTAGAAAAAATGGGCCTGTAAATAATTAATGAAAATCCCGTAATAACCAACAGAAATCAGCTTACCTGAGAGATTCCAAAGAGCTTTGTAGTGTGTCCCCGGCTCCAGTGACCAAGTTCATGGGCAAGTACAGCTACAATCTCTTGTGTATCGCTCTTCTCGATCAGAGTATCATAAATGACGATATGCTTCTTCCATGGTAGACCGAAGAAATAAGCATTACTATGAGCACTGCGCTTGCTGCCGTCGATAACATGCAATTCGTGAAGAGGGAAGTTCAAGCGTTTGGCCAAAGCCTCGACGCCATCTTTCAATTCTCCAGGTTCGAGGGGCGAGAGCTTGTTGAACAAGGGCAAGATCGTGATCGGGTAGACTGTAATCATGAAAACCTGGAGTCCAGCACCAAACAACCACAAGTAGTAGAAGAATTGATGACCAGTTTTTTGTATGATCGTGAGAAAGCCAGCGAGGATCGGTGGAGTCAATGTAAATGCCAACATCTGTCCCTTTAACATGTCCGTAACGAAGAGTTTAGGCGTCTGCTTATTGAAACCAAACTTCTCCTCCAACACAAAGGTCTGGTAGATTGAAGTTGGGAGAGAAATAAACTGTTGAATTACAATAAAAGTAAGGACGAAAACGATTGAGTGAGAAATCTCGCCGGTGAACCGAGCGGGTGCAAGTCGTAGAAGCCAGGATCCAGTGAAGTCCCAAAGTTTGGGAAGAATGTCGAAATAGATGAATGCCGTGTTTTGAATTTGTCCATAGAGTCCTGCAACGAAACCGAATTGTGCTTTTGCGCGTCCATATGCCTTTTTGGAAGTCAGCGAGTGGTAGTGGGGAGACGGTAAGGCTGAAAATAACATACCTGGCTTTTGTCGAAAACTTCTTGCGAGACTTCATTGGAGAGAACCTTGGGTGGACGTGTTTGCTTTAAGACTTGATATTGACGGAGAGAGAGAAACCCTTCGAATAGGTATTGTGCGAGAGAGAAGCCAACGATGAGCTTCTTCCATGGGAATAGTGGCCTATCGAGGGAACGCGCAAGGCGCTGGAATGACATAGTTAGTATTTTTGATCAAGATACTTTCAACTGAAAAACAATTTGGGAGAGTTCTACCTGAAGGAAATCCATGTTTAAACCAATATTGAATTGAATAGAATACGTGTCCAATATGGAAATGGATTGTAAGTTGATACCTCTAAGTGAAAATAAAAGAGTGGTCTTGTTGTTAAGAAGCTAGAATTGAAGGATTACTACCAACGCCTTCTAAGGCTCCCATCTCACACCTGACCTGCTGTTTGTTTTTGACAACGTTTCATTCGAAACGACCTACCTACTCTAAACATCTTACCAAGTCTTTTATCAATACATTCAATTCACTCAATGAATTTTTTCAAATATCAGAAGTCTGATTAATCATGGTTATGTGATGCTTTGAAATATTCCAGAAATTCTCGCCGTTATACAGCATTTATTCAACATCTTCATTGATCCGCAAATATGCTCTATTAGCAATCAATCTATACTTTCAAACACCTGCATGGAGAGCTCCAATGCAATTTCAGGTCATGTTTTTATTACACCGACCAAATACTCTTCAAGATATGATCTCATTCTTTCCCGTCATTACCCGAGGGAGACGTTCTCGAGCATAGTCATGAGAGCGTTTGGATGAAGTACACAACGTGCCATGCAAAGAACCAGAGTAAGGGGCCGATATATTCTCTTCTGTGTTCAATAGCCTTACTTTGAGTCGGAAAATAATTGACCGCTAAGCACCGATGTCAGGAACAATCATGAACTCGTGCTTCAAGGCAGCGGCAAAGGAGAAGATTTAGAAGCCGATGGATGGCAGCCACCCAAGTGTGTATTTGTGAGTCACGGCTTTTCCATTGGTCAATCTTCGCGGACATGCAGAAAACTATGTAATTGTACTACATAGTATGCATAATGTCTAAGCATTCGTGGTGTATTGAACGTTCCATTGCCATAGGATGGCAGTCGGATTATTTGAAGCTTTTGACAATTCCGTGGAAGCACAGGGAGAAAGACATATAAAAGGGTAGCGGGTCACTCAAATATGTGAATTTAGAGATCATGATAATCTTCCATAAGAACATCAAAAGCATAATACACATACTTATCAGAAGTCAAGAAAGGTTCACTTCGGCTCAAAAACTACTTGGCTAGTCAATCAGAGTCATTCAGATATCATCATGCCTCACGCAATTGAAACAAAAACCAATGGAGACCCACCCTACTTTGAGATGACGTTGAGAGAATCCCTCATTGCACGGCACTCAAGCCGTGCTTTTCTTCCGACTCCAGTCCCAAAATCCATCTTACAATCCACTCTCGACCTCGCTCGCTTCGCCCCCTCAAATTCAAACATCCAACCCCATCTCGTTTTCGTTCTCACGAGCGAATCGCTGGAGAATCTCAGAACTAAGTTATACACTGCTGCATCGGAATCCACTCCCAATATCCCACCACTTCCTGTCGGATATACCCACTACCGCTCTGAAGTTGGCCGCCAACTCTATGGCGAAGGGATGGGTATTCCACGATCCGACTCTAAAGCTCGCAATGCAGCTGTCCTCCGCAATTATCGATTCTTTGATGCACCAGTAGGGGCGATAGTATGTATCGATAAAACCCTGACGAATGCAGATAGAGTCAGTGTTGGTATGTGGTTACAGAGTTGGTTATTGGCGCTTACGGAGAGAGGAGTGGGCTCTTGTGTGCAGATTTGTCAGACAGGATATCCAGAGTTGGTGAGGAGGGAATGCGGGATTACTGATAATCTAGAGATCTTGGTAGCGGTATCGATCGGATACGAAGATCCGGATTTCAGGGCCAACGGGCTGAGGCCAACGAGGGATGAATCTACCAAACACGTTACCTTTATGGAATAGAACTTCAGAAGGAATCGGTCCTGGGTCATGTTTAGTGTTGAAGGAGTTTTAGTTGAGTATTGTCCGGGAAACGTTCACTTTTTGCACGACTATAGATTTTGAACTAGACTATAGTAATATTCATATCATCTATAAATGCCCCCAAATTCTTGTACTTATCGAGTACTGCGACAATGACCATATACTCTGCTTATCACAAGTAACCTTGAAATGTCTTCTCTATCTTTGACAGAACTCAGACGGCAGAAACAACATTTGCTATACTCTATTTTCTAAATTCACCATCCAAACTTCGACAGATGCTTGTCTACCTATCTAGGCAGTTCTTTCCCCCCTCAATCAAGTCTACCCCCAACATCTCGTAATGTCATCCAAGTTTACCATTCACCTTTATATCCACTTTGGTACCAACACATGATGCCCCTTAAGAGACATTCTTCTCTCCTCAAAACTGCTCTGACTTACAGTGATTAGCCTCCCAATAATCACAGCAAATATTAATTACTTTTACAAGAGTTCAAGTCTTCCCATCTGAAAATCCTGATCTACAGTCACACATGAATGGGCCTATTTACAAGAATCAACTATATCTTAGAAACAGATCGGTTTCTATATAAAATGGCATCAAGCAGCAATAACTTCATGGAAAGAGTATGTAGATCGATCCTCCATAATGCAGGGTAATCTCATCATTTACTAACCCTGCATCCCTAGCGCCCCAGATCATCTTCCAAGCAAACTCGCTCCAAAGATCTAATTCTAACCTCCCCCTTCGACGCTATCCCTAATCGCATCACTCCTAGCGCACTCCTCGCCATGCCCTTCATCTCCATTCTCATCGGTGTCCCCTCCCGTCACCCCACAAAACCTATCTACGCTATCTATTCCTCCAACATCGCCTCTCTCCAATACGTACACGGGGACGGTACTCTCGTCGAACCCCTCTACATCTGTCCGCTCCTCTCCTTCAATGACGGCGATAAGCTCTGTTCTCGTCAACGTCTCAACATAATCGAATGTATGAATCGCTCTGCACGCTATTATCAAATGATCCACTCCCCCTCCTGGAACAAAGACGGACCCGACGAAAAAACCTTCCGCGGTCCCTTCACCCACGAGAAAACCGTCAAAGAAGCCCTAACATACATATCCGATCTTCGATTCGGACCCGACAACATAGCAGCTCTGAGAACACTTCCTCTCGATCGACATCTCGTTTCCAATCTTCCGGATCCAAGCTCCCCCTGCGTTTCCCTCACCGCACCTCCGACTTGGGATTTTAGTATTCATCACACCGATTTTGCTGATCCATATCTCGATGCAATTCACGAAACGAAATTGTTAGATTATTTCCAGACATTTATCCAACGCTTCCGAAACCATGTTTCCTATCCGATGTTCAAAAAGGCGGCGTATGTTCTCGCGGGCATGGAACAAGTAGGTGCGATTTACTGGCAGAGCGGTCGTGAAGCGCTCAAAACACAGGGGGGATGGACGGTCGATGATTTTCTGGCGAGGTTTGCAAAGTATGAACAATTTACCGAGGAGTGGAAGTTTTTGTACGCGCCGAATCCGGTGACGTGGTTGGAAGCAGAGATGGTGGATGAGGCGAGGAGGGAGAGAATGGGTGGGAGGAGGAGAAAGGCGCCGTGGATGGGGTTGGTGGAGGGAGTGGAGGTGGGGGAAGTGGTGAGTTGGCAAGCGCTGGGTGAGTTTTATTGGGATGATGGAGAAGAGGGGACGGGATATCCGCGAGTGTTTCCGCGTGGAGATGATCAGTTTGAGGATGGTGGTGATCATGAAATTGTGATAAAGAATGAGGGTTCAGGAGAGACCGAGGCGCGAAGTGGTACTTCGTATGAGCAGAAGTGTTTTGGTGAGTTGACTAAGAAAGGGCATGGAAAGAACGGTAAGAGAAGTCGGGAGGTATACGACGACAGTCCGGCGATGAAAAGAGCAAAGTCCGCTGTGCTAAATATGATTTCAGGTTCTTAATAATTATTTTGAATTTTGCAGGATACTTGATCGTTGATTTGGCGGGTATCAGATCATTGATCATGAGAGAAGCAGATGAAGCTTCGATGAAGCTTTTACTCTACCATTTGAGATCGAGGTGTCAAGTTATTCAATGATTTAGTTTCCCGGTAGCCATAATGAATTATCATCATTGATGTTACTCTGCTAGTGGTATACAAACGACCTCTTCAAGATCGCCTACCTCTACCTCCATAGGTACTCTAAGCGATTCATTGACCTGTACATAGGTATTCGGGATTGACATTATCCATTGGGATCTTGATTTGACCAATCCTTGGTGTGTAAATGATCCAGATTAAATCGCATGTCATCTCACAGCATCTCTATGAAGATCCCTTAAGCTGCGATGTACAATATCTTATACTATTACAATCTCATCCAATGTCCTCAGAACATATATATCTCTCTTCAAATGGTAACTATAGAATTATATTCCCGGGATCCATATTATAAACCAAACAATAGTGACCCCTTCCATGCCATTTCACCCAGCCCGTAGCTACTCTTGCTGTAATGATACACTGGATATTGAACAAATGTATGATACAAGACTAAAAGTCCCACGAATAGCACACACAACTAAGGAAGTGCTATTGCAATCAAAGTAGTAAAATGCCAATGATATATGAGAACATGATCGAAAGGGAAGGGAAGTACAAGTAGCAAGTAGTCGTGATTCAATTTCAACATGAATATACAAAGATATTTCGTGGTCACCGATTGTGATTATCATTGAGATTCGAAGAATAAAAAAGATGAAAGATTCGAAGGACTGCTGTAATTATTATTCATTCCCTCAGTATAATAAGACAAAAATTCCCATTCCTATATACTCAACCCTCTCTTTTCCTTTCATTTCTTACTCAATAGAAAGGAAAAGAAGCGCAACGATTCCCAAAAGGAAGCCCATGTCAAATAAAAAAGATGCATGGGACTGAGCAATTGAAAACAATAATAGAATATTCAACTCGAAAAAAAGATTTCTTCCCTGCTGTAAAAAAGCAAAAATTCTTGTGGATTGGTGGGGATACAACTTTCCAATCAACACAGCAACACAGAATGCCCAGAAACAACCTTTCGGGGGCGAGGAGAGGAGAGCACTACGAATATCACTCGTGAGATTCACTTGAATACTCAAATGCCTACTGCAATCTATATCTCGAGTTTCAAGAATCATAAATCTCCCAATAAACAAACATGAAACTCAACTCCTACCAATTCTTTCGAGCGCGTTCCAAATACCAAATAAAAAATTCCAATTCCAACAATTGGTGATGTTCGATATAAGCCCTCCCTCTCTAGGATTAATTACCTGCAACCCAACTCACCACACCCCTAACCCACCCCCCGTCATCTGACAGGCTCCACCGGTACAATCCCTAACGATACTTTTGAAAGAAGAAAAAAGAAAGTTATCTGACAATGCGTCACGACGAGAATGGCAAAGGCAGTCAGCATTTAGAGGGAGAGAAACTCGCAAGATTATCTACTTGAGGAAGGCACCCACTTATGCGTATGATGCTGCGTGTGCCTGCAGATGCAGATGCCAATGCAGATGGAGATGCAGATGTAGAGATGAAAAAATAAAAAATGATAGCGATCTGACGGCCAGATTTCTTTTCCGGCCCCCCACGAATGTACCGCGAACGAGTTGCAAGAGTTGGTCCAGATGGTCGGAAATTTCAAAGACGACCCCAGTGGTTTGTTAGAATTGGCTTTGCCGTAAGCTTGTAGTGCAATACGCGGGGTTAATGCGCAGGCTTTTTTTCATGGCGATATGTGGTCATTATCACATAAATGGATCGAAACCCTGGTCGGAAGATGGATGATCTTGCGTCTTCTATTCTCATGTCACCGTTAAATGTACATTTCAGCCGTAGTAGACGAGGAACTTTTTGATTCATACATTTACGACTTCACACATTTGTCGGGACGTTAATCCCTAATTGAATTCTTCAATATTCATCATTAATGATAGACCGAATTGATTATCAAGCAGCTATGCATAGTTACGTATCAGAACTATGTTCTACTCGACGTTAGAAGTTTGATATCCAATCATCGTTCTAGTCTTCCTCTGATATGTCGTAAATTATTCTATGCAAATCACCACCACAACCAATTAAATTCCCAGCAGACCCCCCGAGATACAATGTTCCAGCCCATTTATTCGCGATACAGCAATACTTGAAATAATAAAGAAGCCACGGTGACGGTGGCTTTTCTCGGCTCACAAGGTAACATCCAGCTTTGCAGGGGTTTCGGAGAAACACGACGATGTTTTACTTTTTCAAACGGATTACACGGGTTACACGACTTGCGACAGCTTGGAATATGTACCGATGCTACCGATATTATAGGCATGTACCGTAACACCAAGACAATCTTGGCCGTGGTACCGGAGCCATATGTATTTTCTTTTCAAAGCAAATTTGGGATTGTTTAAATTTTCAAGATCCAATGAGTAGCTCCATATTGGATTACTGTGTGAGACTTCTCTGCCGAAGAGTGAATGTGATAAATTCAAAGAGACTCACCATCCAAGAGCCTTTCGAGACAGTTCGACATCTTGGAGTTACAATAGTCCAGCAAGTCGCAGCGTGGAACACCATGTAAGGGACAGGCAGCGGCTTGGTATAGCACTAACCATACTCCTACCATCTTCGTAAAGGAATACGCAAATGTGCAAGAAAAATACTGATCAGGGTGAAAAAGATAGTAACATGAGGATCAAGTAGTCCAACCACGGGAAAAAAGCATCAAGCTTTCGGAAAACTTTCGGAAAACTTTTGCTGGTAGTCTCTATAGCTCGTCGCTCGGTGACCTGGTGATAGCAGCTCCTAGCTACGTGGGTGAATTTCGTCCATTACTAACAGTATACATAAACTCTTGAAGTAGATTCCAAATAATATAGCGGATTTATGCTCGGAGTTTCGGTCTCCGAGACTTGTCAATAAGCCTCACGGAGTTATTGTGACTAGTTCTTTTTGCAGGTAAACTCCGGTGACAAGATACTTGGCCGGCAAATTGGTATGGTGTCAACGAGAGGAAATTCTTAGCGAGACATGATGATTTGAATGCCATGTGGATTGCAAACTCTGAAGGCAAAAACTCCGCACATACCGGAGATCCATAGAGAAATAACAACTGAAGATAGCTATCGATATGAAATTGCCGTGAACATATCCATCTCCCACACAGGAAACATCTCCGCGAAAAGGCACTCGAGCACTCACTCGAATGACCTCGTGGCCCATACAGTCTGTGTGTTTAAGGGTCCACTGTGGAAATCTCTGCCAAAAATTGCAAATCGGCCGAAAACTGTCTACGGATTTCTCACATAGTTCTCACAACGTATCGCCGGCTATAGGTGGAGTAGACCCGTCCCTTTAATTTGATATCTTTACAGACCTTGAATTCAAGACTTGATTTAAGGTATTCTGGTCACGGTTCAGCTTGTACCTTGGGCTTCGCCGCGCGCACAGAAGAAAATGGATACCCCAATGGCGAAAAAATGATGTGAACAACGAATGACAAAACTTGAAGTGCAAACATCGTATTGAGAGCAATGTCCGTACCGGGGTAGGTATCGAAGCAAGTATCAGGTCCTGGTATCTTTCTCCTCACTTCGCACAATGCCTCGGGAAGATGTGGCATTCAGTGGCTGGCTGTCGCACAAGATACACGACTCCCTGTACGAAGTCACTGATCCAATGGTTGAATCGCTATCTCCCAATCGGAAAGACAGAAGGAAGTGAGCCGTCTAGTTCCGCTATTCTAGACTCGTATCAAAGAAGGATATGGACTAGTATGTTCTATGGGTTTGCTTCATGGCATCGATTGACAGAAAACAGAAGTTTCGTCAACCGAAAAGAGTTTCGATGATGCCGATAAACTCTTGTGACTTACCTGTTTGTTGATACAATGATGTCGTTTTGACCAGTGAAGATTTGAGTTTCATGCTTCGTCGATAGTGCATGATTCTAGAAGTTACTTACTGTCGCTACTGTACGTACAGTACGGAGTGCATGCACATCTGTAGCTTGGAACTTGGAAAGCTATATGCCAGTGGGATATAATGTCCATCACTTAGAGCCTGCATATTTCGGGATCGCTCTAACCCAGTGACTGGAATGCGGCACGAATCGTAAGATTAACAGTAAAGTTACTTCTGAGAGTAAACAATCCGAGATCTTCCAGACAGTGCGTATACAGACTAGAGGCGAAAGTCTGACTACGTCCACTCTGGTTGAGAGTGAAAAATACCCACCTAGCAAGGAATTGGTATGGTGTGGATTGAATAACAGTTGATGCTGGTAAGGTATAGACGAGCCTGGAAAGATCATGGTTTTCTTAAGGATTAGGTATTGATCAGCGACAGGGATCGATATGGTGATCTTCTAGGGTTTACCGGGTAATGCCACACTAATGGAAACCTAGTAACAGTAGTGGATCGTGATCTCGGAGTGGGTATAAACAAGAATTGAATAGCTAGAGGTGTTTGTTGAAACTTTGGTGGTCATCACCATCGTCATTGGCACTGAGTAGCGAGAAGCTTGAAATGTTACACTGGAGTTAGATGAGAGTAAGATGAGGATTGGCGGACTTCATGATCGTGAGAAGAGATCTGGAACGACAGCCAGGAACGACCTCGTGTAGCGTTAAATTGAGTGTGGCAATCTTTCCATCTAATTGATACCAGTGCCGGATTGGTGATAGCCTGCAGTTTAGAAGGTGCTATGGAAAGAAGGCTGAAAGCAAACGGGGCAGTTTCCATCCGGCAAAGCCTCGGGCCACGAGGATAGCTGGCAATCAATGATCTAATGTCAGGTGTGTACTAATCATGTCTGTGTACAGATTGCGGAGTGCCAATCGTAGAATTTAAGGAAAGTTTAATTGCTTTTTACGGTTATGGTAACCTTACCTGGGGGATTGCCTCTTGGCTTTCGGAATATTTT